CCATCCACCCCCCCCCTCCACCCACTAATGCCTGAGCTGATTGTCACCATCTCAGGGTCAACTGTGGACATTTCTCATTTATTACCCTAAGCAAAAGTGACACGGCATTAGTGCGGGGGGTGATTGGGTTTGCGTTTCGTGTCAGAAAGTGATTGAGTTTGTGCTGAAGTGGATACGGGGTCAACGTTGCTTATGCAGAGTTGAAACAGCCAATCAGGCGACGCCAATTTAGAAGCTTTTAAACCCAAAGTAACAACAAACCCCTGAATCACAGCATCAGGGTGTATAATATATATTCATTTATACACTGTGTTTACTAGACAGGGGGCAGTGTTTCATTTCAGCCAACCAAATCTGACGGAGCGGCCGTTTTGCATCCACACAGCTCCACTTCCTCTCACGGCTCTGTGTTATCGCAGTGGCAGCAAAATAATTAACAACCCCGGCTTTTTACAAGCGTCGTGAACGTGGCAAACATTTCCCCCTCATTTTCTCCCTCTTCCTTTACAGCTCTTGTTCCACACCAGCCACCGCCCACTAAAACCAACCCTGGAGAATCATCTACGTGGACCACGCCTGCGATGACACGCCGTAATTCTCCGGGTCAGCCCCATCAGGACGCCTGATTTACTGGAATGTCGATGAGCTCCGTCTCCTTGGATCCACAGGAAACAGAAACGGCACACTGGCCTCGCAGAGCTGTTAGGAATGTGTATGCGTGTGTGCGCGCGTGTGTGTGTGTGTGTGCCTCTTGTGTACATGTTTCCATGCCTGTGTTCATCAAGCTGCTGGTGCATGAACGTGTGGGGCTGCAGCTCTCCGTGGCAGCACCGGTTCCATCCACTTCAGAAAAACCAATATTTTCTGCCGCCAGTCGTTGTTTATTTCTTACACACCACGTTTAGCTGCTGCCTGAGGCTAAATTTAGATGCACTGGTATTTTTATCTGCTTAAACCAAGATTTCAAGATTTCAGATTTTTTTTCCCCATCTCCAATATGTCGACATCTATATCTAGATCCTCTATATCTATGTGGGCACTCAAACAATGAAGAACATCCAAGAAAATAGAAAGAAAATACAAATTAATGGTGACTCATTTCAAAAGAAAACACATTACACACACACTGTCATTTTAGTACTGCATCTTCTGAATGACAATTATTTCCTCTTTAGCCAAAGTCTCTCCTTCTAACAAAATCACTATGAATAATTCAGAGTATGAGAAAGTTTGCTATGCACAGCCCCTGCAGGACAGGTTTTCATAATTCCTTCTACTATCACTAAAGCCCACAG